GGCTCTACCTGATAACTCTAATTCGTCCCAGAATAGCATGGCTCACATATTGGCGAACCACTTACTTGAGCTCGGCCGATTACGCGCATTGCACTCTCCCTTTTTCGGTTCTAAGAAGTTTTTAACTTTTGATTTTTGAAAACAATTTTTCCCTTTCCTTAGTTTGAGTCCTGACACTCCCAAGAGTGTGACCGAATCCCTCAATCCAAGGCTCTAATACCAACTTGTAACAGCCCAAATTTCCAATAAAATTTTTTATTTTTAAATAAACAAAACATTCCCATAAAATATGAAATCCCAGTAACAGTTGTTTTCAAATCCATAACATCAAACATTTTATTCATAATATCAGAATGTCCCCAAATAAAATGTCGGAGAGTGTATGTCGTGCCATCAAGCCGAGCCCTTGCCTTTAGGTTCTGAAGTACCTGAAACAACCAACAAACTATAAGCTAATTCTTAGTGAGTTCCCCAGACCATTCCCCACACAATCCATATAATCACATAATCCATACTAGCTATATCAGCTACATAAACCACATAAGCCATGCATACAAACATATAAGGATGCCATGGAAACCCTCCAAGGTCTTACACCAAGCGCGACTGGAACCCCCACGTGGTCTTAACTATCTGTCATGGGAACCCCCACATGGTCTACCTGTCATGGGAACCCCTACATGGTCTTCACTAACTGGCATGGGAACCCCCACATGGTCTTCACTATCTGCCATGGGAACCCCCACATGGTCTTCGCTATTTGCCATGGGAACCCCCCACATGGTCTTAGCTAACCAAAGAAATATCATATAAGCTAAACATAAAAACACACTGTGATGCCATGGAAAACCTCCAAGGTCTTATACCAAATGCCATGGGAACCCCCACATGGTCTTAATCTACTGCCACGGGAACCCCCTGGGGTCTTCCATGCAATTATCATACCAACATAACACATAATCAACTAACAATCCACATATCATATAATTGGCCGACCTTGGTGCCTTAGACCCATTGGTATGGTGAGGAGACTCACCTCTTAAGAAGTGTTGAACTGTTAAGATGAATTCCAACTCACAGCTCCAACTCAACTGCCTACAACCATCATGTGACTAACTTTGTCAAAATCCCGAAATACCAAAAATACTCTCAAATTCAAACTTGGTCAACCATGGCCAAAGTCAAGGTCAACAGTCCATGTTGTCCCAACTCGTCGAGTTCCTTGAGTGTTCAGAAAATTGGGAAAACCCGATCCAACTCGTGTAGTTGTCAGGGCAACTCGTTGAGTTTTCCCAGTCTTAATATATTCAACCCCTTCCAGTCGAATCTAAAGCCCCAAACTACAGATATGGTCCCCTAGGGTTAAGATACCACGTAAAGTTGCTAACTTTTCATCCATGCAAGGCATCAAAGGGCTAAAACACTTAAACAATGCTTATCAAGGAACTTAGAGCATGAAGGAGGGCCAATACTTGATAAAGTTGGCAACTTTAAGTCCACAAAGGCCCTTAGATGTCCAGATCTGAAGCCATATCTTCATAACATGCTCAAATTCAAGAATGTTCCCAAACTAGGCTAAAAATGGCCATAAACTTTCATAGAAGAAGATATAAGCAATAAAAGGCCAAGGTTTCGACTTTATACCTTAAAATGGTTGTCACAATGGAGTAAACACCTGATCTACAACCTCTCCCTTCAGCTATGCACCAACCACTTCAAGCTCCATCACTTAAACACCAAAAAGACACTCCTTAAGCTCTCACACACTCAAAATGGTAGGAAAAGCACGAACTAGGGTTTCTATGGACAAAGGGGCGATAAGGGGGGCTAATAATGAGGCTTAAGGCCTTTAAATAGGGCACAAACCCTGAAAATAGGGTTTTCCTTTCCAGCGTCTACTCGTCGAGTTGGGGCCTTCCAACTCGTCGAGTAGACCCTTAATCCAACGTCAAAAATGATCCCTACACGACGAGTTGGAGCTCCCCAACTCGTCGAGTTCCAGTCCAAAACCCTAAAATTTTTAGAAATAAATGATACCTGAATCAAGCATAACACGAGTTACATTTGATTCATATGTAATTTACATATGAATCACATGTAATTCACAAGTAAATCATAAGTGATTTACATATAAATTACTTGTGATTCACATGTAAATCACATGTAATTCACATGTAAATCACAAGTGAATCACGTATGAGTTACATGTGATTCATATGTAATTTACATATGAATCACATGTAATTCATAAGTAAATCACAAGTGATTCACATATGAATTACATGTCGTTCACATATGAATTACATGTGATTCACATGTAAATCACATGTAAATCATGTGATTCATATGTAATTTACATATGAATCACATGTAATTCACAAGTGATTCACATATGAATTATATGTGATTCACATGTAAATCACATGTCATTCACATGTAAATCACAAGTGAATACATATGAATCACAAGTGATTCACATATGAACTACATGTGATTCACATGTAGATCACAAGTGAATCACATAAGAATTACATGTGATTCACATGTAAATAACACGTAATCCACATATGAATTACATATGATTCACATGTAAATCACATATAATTCACATCTGATTCACATGTAAATCAGAACTGAATCACATATGATTCATATGAGTGTTCTTGAATTAATCAATTTTTTTTTTAATTTTCTTGTAGATTTCGTGGGAAATATTGAAGAGTTGAAAAGTGAAAAATTGAAGAAAATATGGAAATCTTGACACGAAGAAATGATCATACTATAAATCTTTGTAGTTTTTTTATTTTTTTATATTTTATTTTGTATCGAATATAATATTTGTGATATTATTTTATAGATTGATTAATAAAAATGAGATTTTTTTATGATTACTTACGAATATTATATTATAAGAAATATGCATATGTGCATTTGAAAAAATATGGATATATATATGCACATAAGACGTTGATTTTTTTTTGTTAAAAAAATAAGATTTTTTTTATTTAAAATATTCTAGTTTTTTTTTTTAAATTTATTGATTATTAAAAATTTTACTTTTAAAAAAAATGCAACTTTTTTAAAAAAATTGCAGTTTTTTTTAAATGCAGTTTTCTTTTGAAAAAAATGCAGTTTTTTTAAATGCGGTTTTTTTTTGAAAAAAATGTAGTTTTTTAAAAACAAAATTGAAGTTATTTTTGAAAAAACTGTAGTTTTTTTTTAAATGCAGCTTTTTTAAAAAAGATTGCTGTTTTTTTGAAAAAATTGGAATTTTTAAAAAAAATATATATTTTTTTCAATTTCTTTTAAAAATTCTTGTTTTCTGAAAAAAAAATCTCCATTTTATTTAATAAAACCGAAAATGATTTTTTTTTAAATCCGAAATTTGATTTATTATGTTAATTTTTAAAACTTTTTATTAATATTCCCAATAACAAAAACAAAATTAAACATTAAATGAGAATGATAAGATGACGATTATGCTCTTAATGAGTTAATTTTGATCTAACGCTCCACCTTTAGTTAATTTTTATCTAACGCTTCACCTTTAATTTTTACATTTAACTCTATGTAGATTAAATTGTAGAAAACTTAATTCAATACATACAACTACTAATAAAAAAAATATTAAAATAATAACAATGGGGCAATATTTGGATTGAAAGTCCATGGCCACGTGTCCAACTTGGTTAGAGAAACAAATTAATTTTTATACCAAAATTTATTTTTTGTTTATAGGTAAACTTTATATTTAATAAAAAATAAAATAAAATATATCATAATACTTAATTTATTTTTCTCGACAAAATAAGACAAATATTGATATAGTTTTATAAATATAAAATTTTAATACAAAATAGGTTGGGTTGGATTGCTAATGAGTGTAAATATTTGGATTGGATTGGGTTGTATACGTAAGCAGAAATAAATTACTTTTTTTATAGAAAAATTGGGTTGAATTAGATTGTTAATAGAGATAGCCTTATCTTTGCATAGGACCCGATCTTGAAGTATTGAATCACATTTAATTCGACAGTAACACCTCATTCCCCAGTCTCATTTAACGAGAGAAGGGGAGGTAACTGGAAGGAATTGGGAGGAAAGGAGGATCGATCTTGTTCCCGAGTTTTTTTTTTGGTAGATTTGGAAAGAAAAGAAGAGAAGATAAGGAAAGATCTTCCCTCCTAATCTTCCTCCCAAAATTGGAGAGATTTGGAGAGAAGTTGACTATATCTCCAACCGATATATTTGAAGTTTACCAAATTATTTTTATTATCACTATTTCTACGCACGCTGCAAACCAAAAAATACAATTTGCATTCTCTACTCTCAAGTCGTTCATCAGGTCTGCATCTTCGTCCCTGCAATCTGCAATTCGTCATGTGAAAATTTTCTGTTCTTGATGCGGTAATATGATCAAGATTAGCATCTCGTTTCTAAACTTTTAGCAATTACAGTCGGGCCCAATAATACAGATTTGTTTCTCTCTCTCTCTCTCTCTATATATATATATATATATATATATATATATATATATATATATATATATATATATATATATATATATATATAAGGTTAGGTTCATGTGAGACCACTTGATTTTGTGAGACGGGGAGACCAAATCTTGACCACTCATCTTGAATAATGAAAGGCTGATATTAATTCAGATTAAACCATAAAATAGGCGGTGGCAATTTTGTAAATTAATGGAACTTTGGGATTAGATCAAGACACGGAGGGGCAGGAATGGAATTTTGCATTCTTTTTCGTTCAACACACAAAAACACCCGGTATTCTTCCTAAAAACCCTAGTGATACGAACACTAAAACCCATTTGATCCAAATCTCGATCATCGTTCTGCTTCCAAATCTCGATCATTGTTTCAGACTCCTTATTCTCATTATACCTGAAATTCATCTTCCGATTCTTACACGAAAACCACTCGATAATCAACTAGAACATTAAAAACCTTTTGATTTTGAATTTGATATCGAATTAAATGGCTCATTCTACAAATTCTGATTCTGATTTTGTATCAACAGCTGTTCCAAGTAAGTATAGTACTATAAACCTATTGTTCTTATTCAATAAACCTATTTGTTCTTATTATAGAAAGTTTTTTCACTTTAAATTGTTGTGTATCTTCAATAAATGTCTAATAATCGAGATATTTCACTAGCGATTTATATGTCGAAGTCAGTATGTAATGGAATATAGCATTATAAAACATACAATCTAAACCTAAATCTCAGTATGTGATTTATATAGAGTCTGTGTATCTAAATGTTAACTCCACATAGTGTTCTAATTATTCCCCATTTCATTTGATCTAAATATTCTTAATCAAAATCAGCAAAGATGTTATGTTATTCTAACTAATTGTTCATAATTTAATTAGATTTAGATTCATAAATTGTCTAATACTATAGATTTTGGTAACATAAATCTCTTATTATGATTGTAGTATAGTGTGTAGCCAAAAAACCTTTTGATATTCTAGTGAATTTTATGTTGATTGATAAATAGAAATTTGTTGTTATGTATTTATAGAACTGTGACCAGATTATATATCATCAACTAATATGAATTCTAATGGAATTTGTTGTTATTGATGCAGCTAAAAAAGTGCAAACAAATGCAGCTGTAACAAAAACATGGAAAGAAATTTATATAGATTTAGGTATAAATTGTAATTACTTTTAGATTAAATATTATAATTGCTTTTAGTAACATATAAATGCTTTTAATAAATATTCTAATTGTTTTTATTTGATAATTTTCTTCATACAGATTCAGGGGGTCAATATAGGGTTAAAAAAGGTATGGACACACTTTCTTTCAAATAATTCATAAAAAAAGCAAATATTTGGATTTATTTTTTTAATTTAGTTATTCTGAATATTCTAATTTTGTTTATCATATATTGTAATTGATTTTAATTGTTAAATTTCATGATAAAGATTTGCAAATTGTAAATCAAAAGAAAAAGAAGGCAGATTTTATGTTGATTGATAAATAGAAATTTGTTGTTATATATTTATAGAACTGTGACCAGATTATATATCATCAACTAATATGAATTCTAATGGAATTTGTTGTTATTGATGCAGCTAAAAAAGTGCAAACAAATGCAGCTACAACAAAAACAGGGAAAGAAATTTATATAGATATAGGTATAACTTGTAATTACTTTTAGATTAAATATTATAATTGACTTTAGTAACTTCTAAATGTTTTTAATAGATATTCTAATTGTTTTTATTTGATAATTTTCTTCATACAGATTCAGGGGGTCAAGATAGGGTTAAAAAATGTATGAACACACTTTCTTTCAAATAATTCATAAAAAAAGCAAATGTTTGGATTTATTTTTTTAAGTTAGTTATTCTGAATATTCTAATTTTGTTTATCATATATTCTAATTGATTTTAATTGTTAAATTTCATGATAAAGATTTGCAAATTGTAAATCAAAAGAAAAAGAAGGCAGATGAAGGAATATCAAAGAAAAAAATTAAAAAAAAAACGTTGTTACTTCTGAAAGCGACTCTGATTCTTCTTCTGATTCCTCCTCATAGCATAGAAAAAGAATTAAAAAAGGTATCAACAATCATTCTTTAAAAACACTTAACAAAATAAATTTTTTGGATTTATTTTTTTCAGTTGATTATTATGAACATTCAAATTGATTAAAATAAAAAGAAGAACACACTTTCTTCATCAGAGTCAGAGACATCCACAACAGAGAATGATGAATATGGTAAAATATATTGTCTTTTATAATATATATGTTGACATCCAATAAAAGTATATTATATTTTTCTAATAGAATAATTATTGATGCAGATAAAGTAAATAAAAAGAAAAAAAGAAAAGTCAAAAAACATTTCAAGCGCCACAACATTAATCCATAATGATGTGAAACACAAAAAGAAAAAGCATGTTTTCGATTCTTCAATAGAATCAGATACACAGTCAACGGGTAAAATAGTCTAATCTTTTTTTTTTCCTGAAATATGATTTTATACTTTATAATTCCAATATTATGGAAGAATAGAAATATTAGAGTGTTTCGAACAATAAAAATACTATATCTACATTTTACTTAGATGATATAGTATTTTTGGATTAAATTTCATAGAATATTCTGATATAATAAGTGTATATGTATAATATTCTGTTGGAATATTACTTTGTAATTAGATGATATAGGATATTTGGATTTTTGTGGTGTACTAACATTTATGATTGATGTAATGAATTAGATGATGAATCTGATGAAGAAATCTATGTAAAAAAGAGAACCGGCGATAGAAAATATCTTAAAGGAGTGACAAAGATTAAAGAAGCAAAAAGGAAGAGGAATAGTGGGGACAATCGTGCAGCAATAAAGAAGCAAAAAACCGTCAAAGAGCAAAAGACTGTGAAAGATATATTGAAGGAGTTGCCTTCAATAAACACTAGATCGACACCTGGATTGACGACAGATGTTGTAAGTTATTTGACATCAGAACAAAAAGATTGGGTGAAACGGATGGGATTTAAAGCATTTTTGAAGATCAAAATTAAGATTACTCCCTTAAAACTTTGCCATTTTGTGCTTGAGCATTATGATGAAGGCACAAACAGTATTCTGATCAAAGGAAAAAGAATAAATATCACAAAGGAAAAAATTCATAAAGTGTTTGGTTTACTCAAAACTGGAAAAAGCTTATTTGACTTGGACATGGTTAGCGAAGATCATCAAGTGTTTGATGGATGGATGAAGGAACTTGAAGGTGGAAAGGAACATGCAACAAACTACAAGAAGATTATTCAAAAATCCGAACAAGTGGATATGAATTTCAAGCTGGGTTTCATAGCTTTATTTGTTAATACGTTTGCAGAATCCATTCCTATGGGGACAAACAACTTAGTTCCAGTTAGAGCACTAGTTGAAGTAGATGACATTTCTAAAATCGATTGGTGTGCGTCTTTGTTGTACTGTGTGAAAAATTCAAAAGGGATATGGCGTCCAGACAACCCCAAGTGTTATTACAGAGGCCCGATGTTGTTGCTATTGGTATGTTTTTTCATATACTTATTTTTTTCATAAAAATGGATATCTAATATGATGTTGAAATAATGCAGCTAATTTACTGTGATGAAATTGAATGCAAGCTCCAAAAAAACAAATGTAAAACACCATTAGTTACGATGTGGACAGCAGATAAGTTGAAGGAAAGACAATCTTTTGAGATTGAAGCTGGTGGATTTGGGGTTGGAAATCTAATTGAACAAAGTTCAAATTTAGAACGTGAAAAGAATGAGAATCAGGACACACGTATTGAGGTATATTCTAAGTAGAATATATTATTAAATTATGTTTTAGAATATATTTTAATTATGTCCTAACTTAATATAAGAAAAATATTCTAATGTCTTTTTTTCCCAGGAGTATGAAGAAAAGTATGAAAAAAATTTCAACAATGTCTCAACTCAAAATGATAATATGGAAGATATTATTTTTCATTGTCTATCGAAATTCCCTGAAGACAATAGAACGAAGGAGATGATAAGAAAGTTTAGAGATATATTTTCAACTACACTTTTTTCAAGTCGAGAGAAATTAGAAACTATTAAGGAGAGAACTGAAGTCAACCGCAGATAGAGATGAAGAACTTAATAAAACAAACATTTCTGATTTTGATGATGATAAAGATGAAGGAATGAATACAAAGTTGGTTGCATTTTTAGCTGTTAAACCATTACAACAGAAGTTTCCAGATAATGAAGAAAGACAAGAAGATGATCAAGATATGAATGTTGACGACCCAATAAATTTGGGTTTAGAGAATAATATTGGCGAGGAAACGATTAGACATCCGCACAATCCAGAAAGACAAATAGAATTTGAATGCATAAATGTTGATGACAAAATAAATTTGGCTTTAGAGGTGAATAATATAGACGAGACTATTGGAAAGAAGAATTTAGAAGAGAATGTTGAGAGCAAAAATCTTGTTGAGGGTGGTGAAATGATTGGTGGGGAGAAGATTAGGGAGGGGAATATTGTAGAGAAGGTGGTTGGAGACAATATAGGTGAGAGCTCAATTGTTACACCAAAACACAATCTAAAAGGCATATCTATTGATTTTCCCCTTGGTCTGATTCATTCATAGAAAAATTAGATGAGGATTTGCTTATAATATTCTCAAACAGAAATCCAGATTCAAATACAATTCCAAATCCAGTTGTCAAATCTCCTGTTCCAAAAAAACTAACAACTTGAAAATTCAGAATTTCCTTCCTTTGATCTTCAAATAACCCAACTAATGAACGATGCAGAAACTGGTGATAATTCTGAGGGTAATGATGAAGATGGAGAGTTAGAAGGGAATGAAGAGCATATTTTAGATGAGAAAAGGAAAAAGGGTCAGAATGTGAATGAAAGAGGGAAAAGGAAGGTGACTAATCCAGATTTTTTTAGATCACCTTTTGTGAATAGGGTAATTGACTTAAGTGAAAAAGTCAGTACTAGGCAAGAGATAATGGCACAAATCATGTTTAGATGCGTTGGAGACAAAGATCCAATGTATGTAAATCCATAATGTTTAGTAAATTTTTTTTATTAGATATGCATATTCTTGAAGGAATACTTTTATAAATTTGAGTATTGTGTAATATTCTTATTGGAATATTGTAACACTATTCAAAAGAAAATATTATTCTAATTAATTTACATTAGTTTTATTAAAATAATATATTTTAACTACAATGCAATATTTTTGTTTGAAGGGAAATGCTGTTTGAAACCGAGTCTGGAGACATAATGGATAGGGTGCATTTTGAGGGTATGCGTCCAAATCATAAGACACATCCTTTCCTTATTGATTGTTGGGCTGCTGTTCTTAATTTTGAAGAAGAAAACCTGAGAAACAAAAAATCACCACCACGTGTCTTCTTCAACACTCAAATTATGGTACTTAATTTTTAAATTTATTTTCTATATTCTAATTATAATTTGTAACAATGTATTCTAATATTTCTATTGTTCTATATGTACACACAGAAAAATTATTGGAATCTTCAATACCTTTTGTCGAAAGATTCCGACTTTTTGATGAGGCTGTAAACAATTACTTATATGAAATCAAAAGAAAAGTGGATTTCAATTTTGTTAGTCTGGTATGTATTTTTGATTACAAGATAACATATTCATTATTAAAATTTATAAAATTCATCTGTATTTATGTTTGAACTACAGGTGTTTTTTCCAATACACAACCGTGGTCATTTTTATTGTCTTCTTTTCAACCTTACAAATCTAGAACATATAATCATGAACAGCATAAGATACACCAAAAAAAGTGTAAGATATCTATGAAGAGATTCCTAAACTTGTGGTAAATGTTTCTTGCATAAATCTAAAATTTTTATTTTAATCATAATTGTTTACTTTAAAAAAACCACTCTGTATAAGTAAATAAATTCTGATTAGAATATAAAATATAATATTTATATTCTTATAAGATTTATTTACTTAATATAGTTATAATTTTATAAAAATAATGGTATTTTATTATTATACATTGTAGCAAATGTACTTTTCAAAGTTTTTGGACAACAATCGGCGGGATAAGGTTTCTTTGTTTAAATATGTGAAGTCAAAGAAAATGAAAATGACATGGCAAACAAAAGCTAAGATAAATGATGATGGTATATTTTTGATGAGCCACATGGAAAATACATGGGTGAGAAAGAAGAAAAGTGGGATGTGGAACTGGGAGAAGAAAGTGTTAGGACATCTAAGAAGATTGCAAAGTTGCGTACATTTTATGTTGCTAAGCTAGCAAACCATCAAATTAACAAGCAGAGAAAATTGAATGTTGCAGAAGCATTGGAATTTTCAAAACTTGATAAGAAAACTAGGTGTATGTCGGTGAAAGAAGGGAGTGAAGCAAGAGACAATCTGGAAATGAAGAAAGTTTGAAAATTTCTTATATTGGCTTATTACATACAGACAATTTATTTTCTATTTTGTTTTTTTTTTTAATGCTTATGTTTGAGGATATGCTTAAACCATTAATATTTTGGTAAATGATATGCTTAAACCAGTTAGTTGGTATCTTGATAAAATATTTACTGCTTAATAGTAAATGATATATAGCGTTTAAAATTTTTGTTTGATGATGCCTAATTATTTGATTAAAAAATTGTATGGTAAAATGATAAATGGTTAAAATCCATATATGTTTATTATTCTTATACAATAATTTTGACAAATAAAAACACATATTGTTAATATTGTATTAAGCTTATTCTAATTTGTTTTATGTAAGTTATTCTGATTATTCTGGTTTCATTAAAATACTTAATAATAAAACGTTTTATTATATAACTATAATATAATATGTAATTTTGTTTTAGAATATTTTAATAAAAAGAATAAATGAAATTAGATTTAGTATCCTGTTGCAATAATAAAAAATTAGGATAATAAAATTTTAGTATATTTTACGACATCTTACTTTAGAAAAAAAAAAGTACATTGTCTCTATTAGTAAAAGTAAAATTTTAGAATAAATGAAAATATTTGTTTTAGAATATTTGTAATTAAGTAATTTTATTTTACAATTAAAATAATATTTGAACCAAAGTGCAAGTTTTAGACTAAAAAATATTAGGACTTATTTTCCAGGGACGAAAAAGGGACAAATGTAATAACTTTGAGATTACGACTTATTCACGAGGGAAGAACATTAAAATCAAAAAACTCAATTTCTTCATCTGTATTCTCAAAACCCTCTTCCAAACTTCTTATCATTTTCGGTTTTAAGCACTCCATCAAAACCCTAACTTCTTGTGCTCTTGAACTCGTCATCTTCAATTTCTCCTTGTATCGATTTCATTTTGTTGTGAATCCGATTTTCACTTGAAAACATCGATAAAAACCCTAAAAACCCTTGTCATATCGATTTTAAACGTTTTGATTCATATTCTGGTCTCTAATCCCTCGATCAAATCCTAATTTTACTTAATTTCATTCTTATCGAGTATTTCTTATCAATGAAGATGGCTACATCAACACGTGCTTCAGAATCTACACCATCAGATCATCTAAATGACATTATTACCAAAAATTCTCAAGAAATTCCAAGTATTTCAATAGTTCTATTAATTATCATTTCATATCCTTGTTTCCGTTTGAAAACGACGATGTAGCTTTGAGAATTGACCTTCTATTGTTGCTCCAGTCTCCATATCTACATACTAATAATTAGGGCATTGGGCTCTTGTATCTTAGTGAAATATTCATCACAGACAATGAGACAAAGCCTTCACATCTGAGAATATGAGCGTTTTTGTGTTGTTTGAGTATGTATTTATAACAAACATGTGCCCCTACTTATATTACATTTAATACATTCTTATGTGGGATTCTTTGGATTGATGATAAATCAAACTTTAGCCTTTCATTTATTTGCAAGGGCATTCGGTTTTGATTCCAACCAAACACATTTATTTATTACTTTTGAGATTTTGTGTGTATGTGAAAAGGGAAATAACACAGTGCTTTCAAGGCAGATATGAAAAGAAACCACCTCATGGTATTGGTCCTGGTGGTCTTGGTCTGAAGAAGAATAATAAAGTTTTTCCATTAAACACTTGTATATTATGTCCTCTAATAGTTTAGAACTTGATCTGAATTAGTATAGAACTCATCACATAAACAAAACCAAAATTGTGTAATTGACAATCAAGATATTATATTGGTTTTCTGCATTTTCTGAGAAAATAGAGAGTTATCATTCCACTTTTGACATCTTACTATGTGATTCAACTTCTAACTGTTCTTTTACATAAAACTTTAATCATTGTATAAACTTTATGCATGGTTAAGTCAGCATCACTCGGGTAAGTGGATGGAAAAATATTATGTACAGGGACATATTCATCAATCTGCTTCTGTTTTTTATGTGTATGTATGTAACTGTGTTTATAGAAAATTCAAGTAATTTTAATCTCATAAATAAACAGTGCATGGGCATATTGGTCAATTTGCTTTAAATGTATTATGTGTATCTTTATTATGATGAGTTAGAATATAATTTTGAAATAAATGTAAGTGTTTTTCTATAACAAACAACAATTAAAGTGTATTTAACATTAATTATTTTCATGCAGCTAATATTATAACAATAATGACAAAATCAAAAATAAAAATGATGGCACTGGGTAGAAGTAGTGAGGTTGAAACTTCAACAGGCAAACTGCTGGTTCAAAAAAGAAAACATCGAAGTTGATCGATGAATTATCAGCTACAACATCAAAAGAAAAAGACAAAAAAGGTACATCATTAGTTATTCTATTCTAATAAAATATTTATCTCATTTGTTTATGTTATTCTATGTATTATAATAAAATATTCTATATTCTATAATTGTTTTTCTATATTCTATTAATTTTATTCTAATAGAATATTTTAAATATTAATCTAATATGTTTCTGTTATTCTATGTACTATAATAAACTATTTATCTCATTTGTTTATGTTATTCTATGTATTACAATAAAATATTCTATATTCTATTAATGTTTTTCTATGTTCTATTAATCTTATTCTAATAGAATATTTTCAAATATTAATCTAATTTGTTTCCTTATTGTAATAGAATATTTTTAAATGTTAATCTCGATATTTGGATATGATAAATGAATTATTAATTTCTAATTTTATTATGAAAATGACAATAAACAGCAAGAAGGTTGGATATGGCTAAAACTCATGAAAAAACTTCAATAGACAAACGACTAATTGAAAGAAGAAAATCATTGAAGCTTATTGATGAACCAGCCGATACAACAGCAAAAGCCAAAGAAAAAAAGGTATATCATCAATTATTGTATTTGTACTATAATATCTTGTGTATTAATGTTATTCTAATAGCAAGAATGCCATATATAGGTAAAATTCATATTTGTTATTATTGATTATGCATTTACAATTACAGTTAGCAAAAATATTTTACATAGTTCGTTTTGATTGGAGATTTTGTGTTGACTAATAACATGTTAGTTAAACCCTAATGGGTTTTTGCCTAACCCTAATCAATAACAGTTTGGACTTAATTATGCGATTAAGTACTTAAGTCATGATATTGACTTTTACTTCTGTTATTAATTATATTGACGTATCAACATTCACTGACTTCTAAAACATAGTAGACATATTCATATAGATGTTATTCTAATAGAATATTCTGAAGTGTTAACTTGTATTCTATTTTTATGATGTTATTATCTTTTTTCTAATATTATTTATTCTGAAAATCCATTGAACAATAGGGAAACAAAAGGTGCATTCTGAAGATGAAAAAAAATAAAAAAAGGAAGTTAGACAATACAAATGATAACATCGAGAAAAAGACACAAAAAACAACAAAAGATTTATTAAAAGATCTTCCTTCAATAAATACTAGAATGAATCCCGGAGCTATGATTGAAGTTATAAGAAGTTTAAGTATGTCTAAAAAAAATGTGTAAAGAAGATGGGTTTTGGATCACTTTTGGAGTTGAACATCAAGAGAATTCCGTTGAAGCTTGCACATTTTGTTGTTCAACATTATGATCATCAAAACAACAGTATTGTGCTTGATAAAAAAAAATAAGATCACAAAAGAAAAGATTCATAAAGTCTTTGGTCTACCAAATGGAGGAAGAAGCTTGTTTGATTTTCATTTTGTTGATAGTAAGAATGAAACGTATGTTACATGGAAAAGCCAGTTTACAACAGAAACAATGAATGCCACTGGATTTAAAGAAGCCATTCTGAAATCCAAAAGAGATGATGATATCTTCAAGCTAAATTTTCTTTCTTTGTTTGTGAATACGTTTCCCGAATCACATTCTTATGGGACGTGGAACATACATCCTGTTAGAAGAGTAGTTGGAGTTGAAGACATCTCATGCATTGATTGGTGTGCGTACTTAAATTACTGTTTGAAGAATACAAGATCTCTATGACATCAAGATAAAAAGAAATGCTATTATAATGGCCCAATGTTGTTAATGATGGTATGCTTTTTGTTTAATTATTTTAATTATTTTAATTTATGAATATCTAATACAATTTACAAACTACTATCATGCAACTACTTTACTGTGACGGTCTTGAATGTCAGCGTTTAATCTTAAAGTCAAAAATTCCAACGTTAACAATGTGGTCAACAGAGGATTTGAATAGCATGCAGTCTTTTGAAATTGAAGATGGTGGGTTTGGATGTGGAAAAGTTGTTATCACACAAATGACGAGAGATAGCGAGGGACCGTCCAATGTGAAAGACGATCTTTATGACACTGTTGAGGTAACTTTAACTAAAATATAAAATAAAATTTCTTTTTATATTACGTTAAAGTATGATGTTATAAAAAATTCTGGATATTCTAATATTACATGTTTATGGTTCATAGTAAATATTCTAAGATATTCTGAGATGATAAAATATTACATGCTTATAATTCTAGTATTTTATTATTTTTCAGGAATATAAAGAGAACTTTGATAAGATGTTCAATAAAGTTTCATGCAGAAAGGAGGACATGTATCGAATTGTTTCTGATTGTATATCAAAGTTTCCAGATGTCAATATAACAAATGAATTGAAAGAGAAGTTCATTAAGTTATTTTCAGATCCTATTTTTTCAAGTGTTGATAATCAAAACAATGAAAATGAAAAAAAAAGGATCACATGAAAGGGTTGAATCTCAAAATGGTGACACGGGGGGAATGATATAAGTTCTTACAAATCACCATATATGGATAAAGCTGTGAATTTATTTGATAGAATCGATTTGCAGAATGTTCTTTTGATTCAGGTTCTAATAAGATGTGCACAGGGTAAAAAGAGAATGTAAGTCACTAACTCTTGCTATTTCAATTAAACATGTATTATTTTTTTGAATTGTTGTTTAACTATAATGCATGTGGATATATTTTTGTTAATGTTTAAAATTAACGGAGGTACTTTTTGAAACAAATACGGGAGAGATTATGCATAGACAGAATTTTGAGAGCATGCGGCCTTATCATGTTATACATCATAGTGTGATTGATTCTTGGGCTGCTATTCTAAATTACGAGGAACAAAAGTCAAAAAGTAAACCATACCGCCTGTTCTTCAATACCAAAATTATGGTAAATTATTTTGCAATTGGAACTTTTATATTTTAGTTGTATATTATAACAAGATATTCTAATTTTTCTGTTTTTCTTTGTTTACAGAGTTCTGATTTATTAGATGAAACTAAATCTTTTGACGAGCGTTTTTTAACTTTTGAGACTCGTGTTGATAAGTTTCTATCTAATTTCAAGGCAAATGTAGATTTCAATGATCTTAAACTCGTAAGAATATTTTATTAATTAAAATATTACATTATTAAAGGATAGGAATTATGTTAACTTTTTGATCAATTTGTTGGAATTGCAGGTGGTTTTCCCAATACTTAATGGTGATCAGATGTATGCTCTTGTTTTCAACCTAACATATCCACAAGTTCATATTATAGACAACATAGAAAAAAAAAATCATTAGAAGAAACTTATGGAATGACACCTACATCATTAGTAAGTTTTCATTTACTTTTATTAAATGTATTAAAGTTACAATATAATAGATTGAATAATGTAATTTTGTTAATATACATTGCAAAAATTGTACTTTATACGATATCTGGAGAAAACTACATTTATCGTCAATAAAATCAAAGGTTTGCGATCAACAACAGTGAAGATGATGAAAATTGACTGGAACACAAAGAAGTTGACAACAGAGAATGAAGCACTTTTAATGAGACATATGAAAAAATATTGTGGAGATAAGCAAGGAAAGTGGAATGTAGAAATGGAAAAAGGCAGTGATGTGCAAGATGTGCAATTTGTAAAATTACGTGCCTTATATTCTGTTAAGATTGCTACACATGAAATCAACAACCACAAGGAGAGAGTTATCAAAGAGGCAATCGAATTTGGAAAGTTTGATCATGCGACTAGAAAAAAGATGTTAGAGGAAGGTATCAATAGAATGGATGAATTGGAAATGGGTAGTAAATAGAATTTGATAGAAGTTTGGAATTTTTATGAACGTGGTTATGGTGACTTAACAAAAATTCCTTTTGTAATATCTATCTTATTTTGAAAAAATTAGACAAAAAAATGATGCCTAGTATTATGTAAGAAACTTGATATGGTTTATTAGGTGATTAATGCTTAATGTATAGTTGGTATTATGATCACTTCTTAATGACCATGGTAGAATATTCTAATAGAATAATGTATAATGGCATCATTATTCTATTAGAATAATATTAGATGTTGCATATACCTATATAACATTCCTACATGTATAATATTGTATTATAATAATTTGATAACAAAACATTATACTGCAATCATTTGTATATGCTTCAAAAAATTAAAGATTGAAAATATTAGAAGAATCAATATGTTTTCAAATGTATAACACATCATCACAACCCAAATGTCTCATACATCATCACAAACCAAATGTCTCATACATCATCACAAACCAAAACATCTGAAAAATGTCCAAACTAAAGAAATTCAAACTTTTATCTATATGGTATTATTGAACTTTATTGAAATACGAAAAAAATCGAAATATATTTCTAGACACAACTATGCACTTTGTACCTTGGAGTTATTCAACAATGTCAAACATTTCCTTGAATTATGCCCTTTAACCCCACATGTTATTCATGATCTTGATTGCTTGTTACCTTGAATAGTAGCCTTCTCCAAAGCACTTTTTAAACGTTTTCCTGTACCAGAACCTTTATTCTTCACCATAGGTGGATTTTCAACATCAACAACTTCAGGATTCGTAGTAGCTCCGTAAAGTTTATCAATATGAGCTTCTTTTGTAACCGGTGATTTGTCTGAATCTTGTTCACCAATATCAGTCATAAAATGTCACACCCTCAAACCAGAATGGCGGAAACGTTCGGGGGCAGAGGACTTCAGGTAAGTATCACAACACATGCAATATAGTAATCAAAGTACAAACAACGATTGCATTAATAAGTATAACTTTTACATAAGTGTTTAAACATTACATATTCAAACACCAAAGTAGGTACAGTAGAAGACAAGAGTCGCGGTATGGTACTAGGTAGTCTTCTCAAAAGCTTCAGGAGTGTACATGTCTACTGGATTCCTGAGAATACAAGATATTTGGAAAGAGTAGATCAGCCTTTAACCTGGTGAGTTGATAAGTATTTTAGTTCTGTTAAGTATACCCTAAGTTCTTTGGATAAGTTAACTGGTTCCTTCAGAAAATCCTATATTTCCTGAGGTGATAGATTGATAACCTCAATAGTTTCCCTTTGTAATTACTTAGTTTATACTGATTATATATAACCTAATATCGAATGAACAGTTAAATGGGTGTATCTGCCCTTAGCCCACAACCAAACAAGGAACAGGAAGTAAGGCGGAAGTCACACATTTCACTGTTAATCGGATATTACTTATGTATAAATCTGATGTAATAACTAAGGAATTATAGAATTAACCACTAAAGGTCCTTTGTGTTATACTAGTTTAAAGAGATTGAATGACTAAGTTCCATTTGATAAGTAGTTTAATTCCATAAACCGTTTCATTTGTAAAAGTGGTTTAATCCCATAAACCGTTTCATTTGTAAAAGTGGTTTAATCCCATAAACCGTTTCCTTTGTAAAAGTATTCTTAGTTATATCTGTTCTACAGTAAATCATTAGTATTAACCCTGGAAAATGTTATATTATCCATAATACTGCCTTGTGGTTTTAAATGTTCCAAAACCGGAAGTACAAGTATATTTGTCATACTTGATTTCATGATACGTAGTTTTTACTGTAAGTAAAAACTAACTGAAGGTATATTTGGTCAGGATGTAATTATCTTTACTTACTGTTTTAAGAGAAGTATATTACTTAGTAATTTACTCGTTGTTTTATCCATGTGAGTTCTATTAACCATACTAATATGACTGATATGCCTGCGGCGACGTTCTTCAAGCGTCGGAAACGGTATGATATTTGACACCCTAGGCTTGTCGGCCAAACTGTAGCGAACAGCAAAGGTGCGGGATTGTCAGTCCCATATAGATCTATACACAAATTCACGCTCTCCCTACAAGAGATTCTGGTTAATAAGTAAGGACTTAAGGTCGTACTTAGATAAGTACACCATGAAGAGTCTCACAAATTTATTGTTTCAACGAGATTTACGATGTATTATTACCCCGTGATTGCTAACCCTGGTACTCTGTATCGTACCTTTGTTAATGCAAACCGGTATGATGTATTATTACCATTACCCCGTATGGCTAACCCTGGTACTCTTGTATTGTACCTTTGTTAATGCAAACCCGTATGATGTATTATTACCCCACGTGTTTGCTAACCCTGGTACTCTGTATTGTACCTTTGTTAATGCAAACCCGTATGATGTATTATTACTTCTTTAATATGTTTTCGTATATTAAAGGCATTATACATATCCTGGTATAGATAAATGAATTGTTGGTAATTTCCTTGGAAAGTAACAGTCGTGAATCATACTTGTATATTTAGTTTTGAATCATAAATTATACCTATTATAATTTATATGTTCATCTGATTAGCATGATTTCTCATAGATGACACCTTTGCTCAGCATGATACAAAGGTAATGATACCGAATGGAGTAACCTTTTATATCATTATGTATTTTATATATATATATATATATAGATATAATATATATATAATTAGAAGGAAAGACCTTCGGACAAATAACACACCTTAATTCCACATCCAAACAAGAAAGGAAATAAGATATTCATTAGTCCTAACCCTTCAAATCTTATTTATATATTTATACATATATAAACATGATTTTGGCAATTATAATTTGAAATATTTATTAAAAACCATTTTCAAGAATTTAACGGATTTACATGACTTTAAAGATTTAACATGGCTTTAAGTCATTTTGGAAATATTTGGTAATCCTTAAAAGCATAAGGAAAGCCTTTGTGATTATTATCACATACATTATTAACACAATTCTAATTGTGTTAACTTGTATTCCCCCCCTAAAAACATTAAAAATTAAAAGGTAAATTATAGGGTATGAACTCACTTTGATAAGCGGTGATTCGGGCAGCTTTCGTTTCTATAGATGATCTTCCTCGAAGAAACCGTGAGTTTTTTGTTAAAAACGGCTTTATGCGGGCAGCACTTCGACTGGAAAGAGGTTATCTTCTCGAGAATTCCGGGGCTCCGGGGCTTTCTTCAGGTTTTAGACACGATACCGGGGCCTTGGGGGGTCGTGAGAAAGTTTAGGGGGTGAAAGGTGAAAGTGGGTGAAATTTTGGGTGAAAAACCTCTCAATTCGAGAAGTCTCGCACCCTTTATATAGGGGTACGAGGGTTCGGTCCGAAGGGTGACTCAGCAGACAGGTGGCGAGGGCGAGGAGTCAGCAGGACACGCGGCAGCTTCTGCGAAGGCCACGAGGCCGAAGTCTAGGCGGTTGCGAACCTCGACCCTTGTGAGGCACGGGGTGGCTTCTGAGTGGACCGAACTTCGGTCCAATGGGGAGGGAGCATGACGACTTCGGACCAATCAGCAGGTGACACGCGAGCCTGCGGTCCAATCAGAAGACGCCACGTGGAGGCTTCATGCGAGGGTGACGTGTCCGGATTGAGGCCATGTGATTTTTCCCGGTTATCCACTAATTCTCGGTTTTTGTGCCAAAAACTTGCGAAAATCATAACTTTCGCATACCAACTCCGTTTTTGGCGTTCTTTATATGCACGCGTAGGTAAAATTATACTCTACGACTTTCGTTTAGACTTCGTCGGCTAATTTTGACATTATTTTTAATATTATTATTTTTAACAGACCGGGACAGGAAATCCGTTAAAAATTCATAACTTCTTCATCCGACGTCCGTTTTCGTCTGTCTTTTTACCGTTGTACTACTTTTGACGAGACCTTCGATTCTCGTTTAAGTTGTGTCGGCTAAATATCGATCAATTTATATTTCGAATTTTTAGCTGTCTACTGATAAACCAAAACTTAGAAAAATCATAACTTCCTCATACGAAGTCAGATTTTTACATTCTTTTTTTGAACGTTCTCGGTTTAACATATTCTACAACTTTCATTTAGATTGTTAAGGCTAAAAAGCCTTTTATCGAAAATTCATTTTTTACACTGAACAGTGTTTTGCCGGTTTTGTCGCGGATTTTCGATTGGTCATAACTTCTTCGTTATAACTCGGATTTCAGTGTTCTTTATATTTTTGGAAACCTTGTTACAATCTCTACCACTTGGTTCATCCCAATTACGATTATTGATCAATTTATTTTGACCTAAATTTGACTGGTGTCACATTATTCCCCCCGTTAGAGAGAATTTTGTCTCGAAATTAAGTCTAAAGTGATACTCATGGACTAGGTCTAATCTTTCCTTCCCAAGTGAATTCAGGTCCTCGGTTTGTAATCCAGCGAACCTTCACTAACGGGATAAGGCTTTGCTTGGTTCTTTCGATTTCCCTATCCATGGTTTCATTGGTTCTTTTACAAAATGTAGACTTTTATTTAACTTGATTTCATTGAGTGAAATAACAAGTGTTTCATCGGATAGACACCACTATGTGAAAGTTGGGATGAATGTTATTAAGTTTTTGTGGTAGTTTAAGTTTATAAGTACAAGACCGATTCTGGTAAGAATCTCAAATGGTTCTATGTACCTTGAATTTTTGTATTCCACGCTTTCCCAAGCGTATCTTGTCCTTCCGAGGTGAGACCTTCATATGACAAGGTCATCAATCCTGGAATTCCAAGGGTTTTCTTTTATCGAAGCCGTAGCTTCTCTGATTAACTCTGGAAGCTTTATGTCGCTTCCTGATTCGTATTTTGTTTTTGGTAGTTTCTCGGATGAATTCCAGATCAGCGAAGGTGCTGTGTGGAAATTGGATCTCTAGCTAGTTGCGTATTACCTAATTTAGTCCAGTGCAGATAGGATCTGCACTTGTGACAGCAGAAGGTTTTGAATGGAGCAAC